ACAAACTGTTAATTGATACAAGGCTTCCTGTTTAAAACAGCGTATTCATGTTTATATAATTAACAATCGTATAATTATGTTTAAATAAAATCTTGATATATGTACTAGCTTTACAATGGCACACCTCTAAATCATTCGTCACAATTCAATTTTAAAGTTCTAAAACTTAATAAACATTTTTTTCTGTTGTTCAAAGCATGAAACGCAGACTTTACCAAATCATTGATAATACTTTCAGCTTGACAGTTCATTAAGATATTAAATTTATGAATATTTTCTTGGTAAATATGTTATTGTTAAATTGTCATAAGCACAATGTATACCCTCACAAAATGATACTTTGTTTTTATGTAACCTACCATAATTTACATTTACGCTTAAATCTCTCTTCATAATGTAATATTTCAAATGACAAACTATCGCATAGTTAAAAATAGGTAAAAATAGTATAATATTAAAGAATATAAATGACAATTGCCAAGTGAAGTGGGTAACAAAAGTTCGGTATTTGCATGACTCAGATGGTTTTGTGAAAATTTCTCGCGGAGCAATGACAATTGACATTTTGCCAATGCCCCTTATTCACAAAGCACGTAAAAATAGTTTTAATTTTCTTAAGAAGATTCTTTTAAAAATAACACTAACGCGTGTTACTTATCCTGCCTTTATTTTCAAGTATGACAAATACTTATTATATTTTACTAAACAACATTCACAATAATATTTTACTTAAAGATCCTGTAACACAATGTTTTATGGTTTTATATCATAAATATGATGCTCAAATTGAAGATTTATCAATATTGTAAGTTCCGAATAGCATAATTTATAAATAGATCACCGAATTTAACATTTCATGTAAATAAAGGGAGGTAAGAAAAAAATTATTTTCTGTAAAGTCTATGTCAAATGTTTCAATAAGAAATTAATGCATATATTTTAATGATTACATATAATATGTACAAATATTTGCAGTTCATATTTTACATATTCTTTGATGTTTGAAAATTGTTTTATAAGCATAATTATATACATATATAAAATTTCACTTAGATGTGTTAACAACCTCAATTACAACTTACACCATTCACAAATAAATTTATACATACGAAATGATAGTTTTGCCAAAGATACAAAGCTGTTTATTGTGAGAGAAAATATCAAATTATTGACATTAAACCGGGTATGAATAACATAAAAATGTCTTATTTAAAGGTATAATAACTGTTTCAAGTTTCTTCGGATGAGCGTACCGCATGCCTTTTTAACACACGTCACCAATATGTTTTAAACGGGACCATCAACTAAGACTGGAATCTCATTTTAACAGGAAGTGTCTGTTATGTATGATTGTCATAATATACTGGAAATGATGGGGATTACAACAAAAACGGTAGATTTTATAAGGTTTAATTCAGTAGTGTGTGCTACTGTGAAGTAAGTCACTAAGAAACATCGTTTTTTTTCTATAAGATGCCCTTGTTTTTTTTAATTAAATAGAGTAAACAAAGCAGAAAATCTTCAATGGCTAAATATCCACACAAAACGACATATAGAAATGTTTAATTTAAGATGCATACCACACAATATTTGAAAATATTTACTGTATGATTATAGTGGACACTGAAGACCAAGACGGCACGATTGACAGTGGTCTTCATTGGTTGCATGGTTGGATCTAGTTGCCGCTCAAAGTAGGCCAAGGGTTAAATAAAAACATGTACAAAGTATGCCACCAACTTTTTTCAGTTCTAAATGCTGTGGAAAGTAAAACAATTCGAAAATAACTACATTGTATGCGATTGTAAATAGTACACCTCTGTATCAATGATTGTTTCTATTAGTCTTTTATACTAAAATACTCTGCAAAGGACTGTACAATATATGTATTTGTTGAAAGAGCATCACTAAGACAGGGCATTATACGCCCAATGAAAAGTGTTTGATAATCAAAAATAAACTGTCAGTTAGGAAGAGGTCCATTCATGAAACTTGACCGATAAATGTTTTATCTTAATTATCATTCAGTGTGGGAGCATTTTTGATCCTAGGTGCATGATTCATAAAGCTTTTGTATTGGTCTACCTGGCAATGCTACATGCCAAATATATAAGCTCTGAGTATAGTGTTTCACAAAAAGATAAGATGTGTTTATATACCATTCTTCAAAGGCATGTGACCTTCAGGGTAGGGCCAAGTTTGACCTCAGGGTCATGGTTTGTATGACTCTTGTGGAAGACTATAATTTTATGCTTCATGCCAAATATCTTAGAGCTGGGCCTTTATAGTTTAGGTTTTAAAGCTATGTTATTATATTAGTAAACAATAGTGTGATGTAATTTTTTACCCCTGAACCATGATTTATGTATCTTTTGTAGAGGTCAACTTAGCAACACTACATGCCAAGTATCTAAGCTCTTGACATTGAAGTGTCATACGATATGACTAACATGATGTTCCAATCGTTTTAAAATATGAGCCGCGTCACGACAAAACCAACATAATGGGTTTGCGACCAGCATGGATCCAGACCAGCCTGCGCATCCGCACAGTCTGATCAGGATCCATGCTGTTCGTTTACCAACCCTATTACAAGTACAGAAACTGTTAGCGAACAGCATGGATCCTGATCAGACTACGCGGATGCGCAGGCTGGTCTGGATCCATGCTGGTCGCAAACGCACTATGTTGGTTTTGTCGTGACGCGGCTCATATAGTTCTTGTTTCATTTAATAAAGGGCAAACATGAGCTTTATAACATTAAAATAATGGTTTTAGAGCATGTTAGATGCTTATTACACGAAGAAAGTAAAGCTTAATGTGAAACTTAATGTGATAAAACTATATAAAAAAAGATGTAAACACAGTCGTAGTTTGACTTCCATAAAAATACTTAATTAAATTAGCGTGTCATTTATATCACAAATGTAAATATATTTTTTTACGACCGTTCATGCTCCGATAATGTACGCGCGATGGGGAAAAGGGGGACAGGAAGCCGTTGGACAAACCGCCACTATTTACCAAGGTGTCCATGAAGACTCGGTGTAGTATATGGACGGCGTCTCGAATGAATATATCAAGATTGACATTGCTGTTACAGAAAGACTACCTAGCGTGGATTCCTCGCGCAAAGAAAGTCAGTCACTTATGACCTGTTTACAGACTTATGACCTGTTTGCGTATGATAATCTGTTACACCCAGCAACAAAAACAGCCGATGGAAAGTATGTGCCAGATTTCAACTTTCGCTACATAAGAGAGGATGATTCCTATGGAATGATAGTGTCACGTCAAATAGCCGATTTCGTTGGAGTGGAAACACCAGTAATTGACGAAATAGTTTTGTGCGCGCAAGAAAAGCTAGTTAAAAAATCCTTATTCATAGAAAGCTATGTAAACTTGACCGGATCTACGATAGAATTCTAATGACCTATGGTATGCACGATCTAGGAATTTCTAAACGTCTTTTTTTCAAATATCAATATATAAAGTTCAGTATAGGTCCCTAACACATCACTTGGTCTGTTTTAATTTTTTTCTTTAGAATACTGAATATTTATATATATTGTTAACGACAAAGTATTTAAAACATTGTGAAAGCTGCAACCAGTTACTATCACAAGTATTTGAAGTATCAGAGAAATGTTAAATAGTGTTAATGACACTGACAAATACCACATGAATATGTGCTTTATTTTCTGCTAAGGTAACTAGATAACCACGTAGACTATAATACGTAGATTATCGCGTAGAAATTACTTCTTAACCTGAGATTATCGGCAGGCGTTTACCATTTATTTTGTTGATAGTGTATTCTTAAAAAAGAGATCTTATAATTACTATTACCCAATTGTTGTACATATTGTACTCACAACTGGAGAATTTAGTAAAAAACGCTATAGCTTTTAATGTTGACATTTCCATAATACATTAACCTTTTTATTTATATAACAATGTAATGACAATGATCTGGCGTATTTCTTCAAAAACATTTGACAATTGTTTTGTAATTCATTTTTATCATCAAACTCTATAAATCGTGTCATCCTAGTTTCAGATCATAGTTTTTCTAACTTTCGTATTGTTATGAAAAATCCACGTGATCGGAGAAAGCTCTAGGTATTTATTATTCTTATAAATATAAAAAGACAGAACTGTTGACAATATACGTACATCGGTGCATCATTTATAAACAATTCATATAATGTGTTATAACGTAACTTGACGTTTGAGCTGGAGACGTGTGACATACAAAAGGACTGATGATGCAAATAATTGCATTAACCGTTGGTATATTTGTTTCGTATGTTAGAAAGCCCATGAAGACTGTTCTACATTCAAAGCAAGGCAAATCAACGCATTTTACACTTGCTACTGGACTCTCCGTACTATTTGTTCTATAGTAAATCAGTCAAATTTGAGGCTTAATTCTGGATTCCACTGTTCTTGATGAATTATATACTGTCTTCAACTTTAATCATTAACACTATCTAAGTGAATGAGGCCCAAAATATAATAGGTTAGCCATCTACTTTTTTCAGAAATATCTTCATTCTGTTGTAACACTGTTTAAATTCACCACTTTAAAAACTCCTGACAGCTGGTGGGTAGTACATCTTTAATCCATCCGCCAACAAATGAGTTCCTGGAGAATACACAAAAAACAACTTTTAAAGTCATCATATAACACACAAAAACTACACACATGCAATAAATACACTTTAATTATGACCAATCTAACTAGAGATGACTTAAATTGGGCCATTTCAAAATTTTAAAGAACTACTTTCTACAATGGGTTGGGTCTTATTCCGTACCGGGTTGAGACCTACTGGAGTTTTTCAGCTTAAAGGTATTTCCTGATATTTCCGGTATATATGTATAATTTACAATCTTTGTCTAGACATGAGGACATCAAAGTTGAAAGCTAATTGTACAGCAGGACATATGAATAATTCAATTGTTTTCCCTCTGCAGATTCTAGGTTCCGTGCCATTGTATCATTAGTTGTTAAACTGTTCGTATCTTTTCTTCAGAAAATAATTTTAAAAACTATGGATTTTAGACAAAATATCATTTTGATTTCTTCTTTGACTTGCCTTGTACTTCAGATTATATCATCGAATGTTGTTCACTGGACAAAATACAACTATATGACTAATATACTTACATGCAAACCGAGCAAAATTCTTTTCTCTACAGAAAACGTTCATGATCCTTCAGAATGCACCAAGATGTGCTTTTTTCAACACAACTGCCTCGTTGTCACCTTCATACCGGAGCTTAATAAATGTGTTGGATGCCAAGAGTATAGGCACGCAGGAATATATCAGACGTCTGCAGAGATACAATATTCCATCAGACCAGCTCATGGTAGGTTAAGTTCTTTTGAAAATAATTGAGCTTTTTATGACAGATATAATTGGAAAAAAATAGTGTGTATTCTTTCTGTCTGTTACTTAAATTATTATTGTTTGTGCAAATTTTCCATTTTATACAATGTTAAATTTGATAATTATGAATTAGATCGGAAATCAATATTTTATATACCTTTATAAGTGAAATTATGCCCGTTTTTGGCTGTAAAGTTGAATTGAATTAGCTATGTATTTCAAAAGGTTGACTTGACAGAAAATTTTATTACAACAGATTTTAAGGGTGAAATACAAAAACTGTCTAAACAGTAAACAGTAATATACGTTCAACCAATTTTATCATTTGAACATTTCGCATACATACCGAAGGCTATTTCAGAAATTTCCGTAGGGCAAAGTCCAAAGTTTTTTACAATTATACTCACAATGGCCATAATGTTAAACAAATTATATCCGAAGTTTTTAATACAAATTTTTAATGCGCTAAGTTAAAAAAACACATCACAAACATCTTTTAAATAACAATCTGTAATCTTGCAACTTAAGAACATTTTTGGTCCTTTTATTTGTTTCTAATATTTCCTTTCATTTCCTTTCTTCAATGACTTTTCGCACAACTTTTTGGTATCCATTTTTTTAAGTAACACACTTTCCTTTTTATGATTTTTTGTTTAAGGATAGTGTACCCCTTGAGTAGTCCTATTTATACACATTTTCAACTTTAACATAAGCGTATATTATTGATTAGAGTTTCTGAAATATAAAAATCAAGTGTACAGAATACAGTGGGTTTTGCCATCTGAATGCCAGGTGAACTTACATTTATATGTGTTTTTAATTATCCAAATATCAAAAAGCTATATTTTTCAGTCATACCCTTTATTTTTTGTCCATATTTTGTGGCCATCCTTTCTATCATTCTTTTTGTCTAACTGTACACCTAAACAAGTATTGACATAACCTCTTAATATATTTTCTCTTTTTTCATTTACTAATAGTTCTTATAGTTACTATTATACGTGTTCATTTCACAAACTAAATTACAATAAATATCCCATAAACAATTTCTGCATATGTTACGTTATCAAACGTGCTTGGAATTAAGAACCATACGACGACACTTTTATTAGCATTTCCACTGGAAAAAAAACCTCCAACCTAATCTAAAGTCCATTTAAGCTTTTGTTTTGTGTTTACGTGTGATTTGTAAGAGACATATATCATACTTTTGTAAATTTAGCCACTTGAATACTTGTTTTCTTTTTAAATAATTTCCCAAACCTCTAATATCAGAAGTGCAAATTTCCATACTCATTTCAATGCAATGTGTAGGTTACGTACAAAATCGGTAGATGACCTGATATAAAATAACTTAAGAGAAAAAACATATTGTTGAATTCACAGATAATGATCCATCATGTTCAAAGAATATTTTTGCACAAACCAAACTTACAATCCAATGCATATACATGTATGTATATATTTATATGTGTATGTATTTAAGTAGAAAGTTTTACATTACATTAAGCACAAATTAAAAAAGAACAGTCTTTCTTCAAGGTACACAGTGAATAAAATTTACAGTCTTTACATTTTTCAGGATCTTATATGAACTATTTTAGGGAATGCCATCTACTGGTTGGATGTAAGGAAAATGATTATGTAATCATCCTTTATGTACTGATTTTTATGATCCGAATGTTTGTATATTATGATTGAATAATAAGAGAGAATAATAATTCATACAAATTCTACCTGTTACCTTGTGACTTTTTGTTGTTCACAAGGCTAAATGAAATCATGACAGGACGCCTGTTCGAATCTCTTTGCGCTTTTCCAACATCTTCTTCGTATATATTTGGTGGGCCGTTGTAAAAAAATCGGTTGAGGCAGATAGATCATAATTGAAATGGCTTAAATAAAGAAAATTGTAACATCATGAACATAACTTTAAAATACCCCATGCAATTCTAGACTACGAACATAATAAATGGTGCTCCTATGTGTTGAGTTTACACCGGAGTATGTTTTGTGAGACGCTACAAAATTAATCATGTACGGGGACAGGGAATAGCTTCGTCAGAAGATATTAAAAAATGTTAGCTATTTTAATATAATCAGACTTTGTTTCGAATAACATGCAACTATATACATGATATATGTAATACATTGCAAATTTCAACAGTTGTTTACATAACTGGACCCCTTTTGCAATGAAAGGTAAAAATGCTCTAACAATTTGAATGTAAACAATTCACGGTGAAAATTTTATTCATGAATCAATGAATAAATACAAAATTCATGTTCAAAGATTTAGTGATTGGAATTATCAAATTTATTAAGGTTGCATTTTGAATCAAGTGATAAAAAGTTTTGAAAGCAAGTCGTTTAGAATTTCTTTTCCTGATTACATGACCGGTGCAAGGAGCCTGAGATCGTAATAATAATAAAATGTAAACATCGTTACAAGATTGGGGAAATCCAGGTTAAAGAATGCCAGAAAGTCTAGAATCGGGATCTAATTCAACAAAAAACAGTTTTATTATGTCTCATAAAGTTTGATGTAATGAGATTTATAAGACAATGATAATATCTTGCAAGTAATATATGAAATTTACTTTACTTTACTCCACTTCATATATCCTAAGTTATTGACTAATATGTTTATTCACTTTCATATTGCAATTAATGCTAGACAAATAATATATGTAGTAAATGATAATTGTTTTTTTTCTATTTTTCCCGTATATACAAGACTATCACTTTAGTTGTAAGGAAGTATTGGAAGAAAACAGACAAGCAAAAAGTGGAGTTTATATAATTACACCAAACTTTACTGAGACCTCGGTAGATGCGTTCTGTGATATGACAACAGATGGAGGTGGCTGGACGGTATGTTAACTGAGTCGTGCCATGACAAAACCAACATAATGGGTTTGCGACCAGCATGCAGACCAGCCTGCGCATCCAGGCAGTCCAGGATCCTGCTGTTCGCTTACCAACCCTATTACAAGTAGAGAAACTGATAGCGAACAGCATGGATCATGATCAGACTGCGCGGATGCGCAGTCTGGTCTGGATCCATGCTGGTCGCAAACGCACTATGTTGGTTTTGTCATGGCACGGCTCAATTAAAATTTCAGTAAAAGACTTACTTTAATGTCGAATAGCTATGGCTAAACGATTACGATAAGGTGTTTAAGGTGTTACACTCACTTTTTGCTTATTATTAGACTCTTCTTAAAACACCTTTATTATGAGCAACAATATTTGCGACACCTATTAATGTAATCAAGGACTTTGAAGCAAGTTGTTTATAATTAATTATGTTCTTAATATTGAAGGTATTTCAAAACCGGTTTGATGGTTCTGTTGATTTTGTAAGAAATCTTACAGACTATGAAAATGGCTTTGGCAACTTGGAAGGTGAATTTTGGCTCGGTAAGCAAAATTGATGACATAAATAATGTAAATAATAAAGAAAACAAATTGATAAAATAAATAATTGTTGTTACCTTGATTTATAATATTTTACTTTAAAACGTTTATAGAGCATTATCATTATGATTTTTTTTCTATTTTAATCCAATCCAATACAAAACTTTAATTATTAAGATAATTCACTTATCTACATTTTCTTCTGTCTCCTCAAATTATATAACTGTGAATCATGAACTATCACAGTTTCTGTATTATAGGACTAAACATTATCAGAAGATTGTTGAAAAATGTAACAAACATTAGGTATGAAATGACATCAGTTGATGGGACGACCTCATACGAAGTATATGGCGGTTATCTTGAAGAAAATGACGTTCTAGTATCGATAGGTTATCTTGAAACAGGTAACTTGAGAAATTCATGTATGTTTTAACATTCTACAACGTCGTCTTTTATTCTCTTGTAAATAATGCCATTAAATTTGCTTTAAACATGATAATGTATTTTACCTAGGTTAAGGTAATCCTTGCTAATCAGGTCATGCAAGATCTTATCCTGGATGATAAATCGATCTTTTAAAACGTTTTTATAGGCGCGACAGGGCTCCGATTTACAATTCTCAATGTCTTAGCAGTTTTTATTTTTCGATTAGCGATGGTTACCTTACTTTTAATATTTTGTTTAAATACATTGTAATTTTACTATTTGATTTTAGTCTTAGACTTACTGTATAAGTCTTGAATATGTTTATCATTGATATAATGTCTCTTGAAATTCTTAAATAGAATGGTCGTATGCAGATTTTATGTGAATATGTGTAAATATGTATAAAAATGTATGTATACGAATGAGACAAAAATAAAGTATGAATATATATGTATGTTGTTTGTATTAAACGTCTGGTGTTATAATTTATTTCAATCGTAAGTACTAAATTGTTTTCAAGTGTCGTAAGACTTACATGAGGCAATATTTCTGAATTATTGGCAAATAAAAATGATATTGAAAGTGTGAAACACAGTTATACTACCAGAAACAAAAATACTGTAATAAATATAGGAATAAAAAGTAAACAATGAATCATATATAATTGGTAGTTGGACTTACCTGCATTTAAAACTTTGAAATTACAGAATTAAACGAGACGGATAAGACAAAAGATCTTCTCTCAGTCAGCCTTGCCCCATTTTTGATATTCGACCAAGACACATTCGAGAATTGCTCTGGGATCTATGGAGGTGGCTGGTGGTATAAGGACAAAGCATGTGGGGACATCAACTTGAACGGTAAATACGGACCCGGGGGTGGATTCTACCACAGAGGTTTAAACGGCAACAAAATACTAAAATCTTCAAAAATGATGGCAAGACTTTATCTCTACTAAAATACTGCAATAAAGTTCTGAATTCCCATGAAATCATGCTACATTGAAGAGATATTTGTACATTTTAAGACATCATGAATTCAGATTAAATTACGTTGTAATCAATGACTTTATTTTTATGATTTTGTTTGAGAATCAAATGTTGAAATTATTTATTGAATTCCGATGAAATTACTAAGTTATTATTTACCCTGTTTCCTTTATCAAAATATTTTAATTATTTTATGAATTCTAAAGAAATTGTGTGCAGTGAAAGACTAAATGATTCAGATATAGTTGTATGTTAGAATGAAAGGCTCTGAAGCTGTGCATCGTCTAACTTTTCAATGATCTAAAGTGAGCATTTCTTAGACTCAATCCAACTCGCGTGTTCTTTAAGAAGAAAAACGTATCAAGTACGTATGTTTTTCTGTTTATGCTTTGACCGGATTCTGTATCATTTTGTTCTACAGATATTGTTGATAAAAACTCCGTTAATAACCCCGTATTTACGACCTATTTCTCAACTTTCACCTTATTTTGAAATGTTAAATTTCGTAAAACATAGAAATATTACTGCTAAATTACTTTCAACACACCAATTGAATATAACGGGAAAGCATATTGAATGAACTGAAATGTAACTTGTGTGAAACAATCGATACAGAAGATGAATAACATATTATGATATTATATATGTCATGTAAGGGATGCAGTATATTCCTAGATATTAGTAATACATGCCAAAGTCTGGCATAATTTATAGAACTTGTAAAATGTGGTTGTTCTTTGTAATAATATAGACTTTCAATTTTCCGTATTTAAGCTTTTAAGCAAGGCAAAAGGTGATCTTTTATTTATTAGTATTTTACTTTATTACATGCAAATAATTGTATACGTGTAATGCCGATGAACCGACATGTTAAAGTTAATTTTGATGAATTAACTTCTCTTCTGTTCTGACATATCAATGTAACTGAGTTAATAAAAGATAAGATCTGTTCTGTTCTGATTTCCTTAACTTTGTGCAATTTGTATTTTTTTTTATGAATTCAAGTGAAATATGGTATTGGGATGATAATTAAAGGTTCAGTTTTTAATAGCTGTGTAACAGAACAAAAGGTTGCAATACTTTTTTCAGAACAAACGAAATAACGTTGTAATTTTAATGATTTTTTCTATTAATGTGTGTATAATGTTGCAATTATTTTTGGAATTCAGATGAAACTGCTTGATATTGTTTTAAATTAATAAGTGTAATATCTAACCAGTGCAATTATTATTGGAATTCAGATGAACAAAAAAAAGTTATTAATAATGTGTCTATTTCAATGAAGTGTGTCTCAGAATTTACTATTGCAAGAATTTCAGGAATTCATATGAAACTTTGTCGTACATAATAACTCTATTTTCGATGAATATGTGAAAGAAATAAATGTGGCAATTAATGTATGAATTCAGATAAAAACTTAAGTATAAATGACTCTTTTCTATAACTATGTGTTAGCACTAATTGTTGCAATTATTATTGGAATTCAGATGTTGTAATATATGACTGTTTTCTATTAATATGTGTCAGAACTAACTATTGTAATTATTTTAGGAATTCAGATGAATTTCTTTCGTAATTTATGACACTTTTTTCTATAAATTTGTATGAGAACTAAATGTTGCAATAATTTTGGGAAAACAGATGAAATTACGTGTTAATCAATGACTCTGTTTTTTAAAAATGTATAAAAGGAATAAATGTTGCATTTGTTTTATGCATTCTGATGTAATATTCTGCTATATAATTAGGATTTCTATGAAGCTGTGTAAAAACTACCAATTACATTTTTTAGGAATTCAGACATAATATTTTTATTTATGAAGTTGTTTTCTGTAAATGTGTGTCAAAATTGAGTTTGTAATTATTTTCGAAATTCAACTGAAAAAACGTGTTTATTTATGTATCTCTTTTCTGTTAATGTGCAGATAAGAGCTAAATGTTACAATCCAAAACAATATGTAGAATTTATAATATGTAAATATGCCATTGCCTTGTTGACACACGTGTACGAAAAGTAATTATGACGTAAAATAATTGCCGAATTCGATTTCTAATAATCGCTGTGATACTATCACACATCATCTCTGTTTTTTCTTGTCAATTTCATGGGTCAGGCAGCGTAGGGGAATTCTCTCTCTCTCTCTCCCCTCTCTCTCTCTCTCTCTCTCTCTTTTTTTCTTTTGTTTGTTTGGGTTTTTTTTTTTTTTTTGTTTAAATTTGCCAAGCTAACTAATTCCCTACATACAGAATTCTATCCAGTGTCTCAAATTTCTATTTGAAAGATCCTGTTCTATCTTATTTTATGGAGCAAAATTGGTGTTTTATATTAAATTTATGTATGTGCGTGCATTACTTGTAACTATCCGGAAAATATGTAATATAAAAGTTAGACTTTGTGGGAAGGGCTGTTGCTAATGTTGTAATAACTTGTAACCCAACCCATTTGCACTATATACTTATATTTACATTTGTTTCTTTTTTGTGTGTTTTTCATATCTGACATGTATTATATAGTTGCAATAAAATATTATTAAACTAATGTTACAATTATTTAAAATATTCAGATGAAGAATGACTTAGTTTGCTTTAAATGCGTACATGAATTTAATGTTGCAATTATTTTAGGAATTCAGATGAAATTACGTTGTAATTAATGACTCTGTTTTCTATACATGTGAGTAAGAAAAAAACTGCTGCATTATTTTGTATGTTTAGATGTAAGAACGTTGGGATAAATGACTCTTTTTCTATAAATGTGCGTCAAGCAATTTTTGCAATTATTTTAGCAATTTTGATTAAAGTAATGTCTGACACATGACGCCTTTCTCGCTTAACGTGTCTCAGAATTGAATGTTGTAATTATTCTAAAAATTCAAATGAAGTTACGTCACTATTATTGTCTCTGTTTCAAAGCTATCTTTTGTAATTATTTTAGAAATTTTCTGATGAAATGACTTTGTTATTAATGAAACTGTTTTCTGGCAATGTGTGTAAAAGCTCAATATTACAATTATTTAAAAATATTTAGATGAAGAATGACTTAGTTTGCTATAAATGTGTACATGAATTTAATGTTGCAATTATTTTAGGAATTCAGATGAAATTACGTTGTAATTAATGACTCTGTTTTCTATACATGTGAGTAAGAAATAACTGTTGCATAATTTTGTATGTTTAGATGAAAGAACGTTGGGATAAATAACATTTTTTAAAATGTGCGTCAAAGCTAACTTTTACAATTATTTAGCAATTCAATGGGGTTTTTTTAAACCGATGTACCATGTAACAATTATTCCATAGATTAAGATGAAGAAACATGTTTGTCAATAACTGAGTTTTCTATAAATTTTTACAAGAAATGAATGTCGCAATTGTTTTAGGAATTCAGATGAAATTACGTGATAATTAATGACTCTGTTTTCTGAATGGTTGTTTTGTGTAGAAATATGTTTCAATAAACTTTAATATGAAAATGAGATTTTGTTTAAATAAAAGAATTTTCTTCAACTGTGTACAATAACATTATAAAATCTGGTGAAATTAAAACATACATTGATATACTTCATACTTTCTATCTAGTTTGTCGTCATTTTATTCGATCAGCGTGACATTCCGCATTCATAGTTGTTCCTTGTCGCAAGTTGATGGCGTGAACCACTCTTTTGCCGTCCTTAAGCGGGGTGGATTTTCGATCTCTTCTCAACCAACCGAAGAATATTGGTGCTATTAAAAATGACGACTGCAAGGGAAAAGGTTTTATGCTGCAAACACTGCTGAACACTATCGGTATGGCGAAGGCCGAAGAATGTTCTTGTTGGATTCTGCGGTGATAGATGCACTGATGTCCTCGTTGTTATTTACTGAGGTATGCCAGGCGTTATCGAGAATATGCGATACCGAAGAAAAGCTTTAACCGGTTAACAAGTTATAGTTTCTTTTTGATGACGATAATGGTATGAACTATTTTCTATTGTCCAAATAAATCAAAATGAAATCTGAAACATCGTGCAATTTAATCATTATTTTTTTCGACATACTTGCATGATGCTAAAATACGTCCAATAAAAACTGAAATATTATCGCAATTAAATCTTAATTTTTATTTGCTAGCAATTTTCTTCAAATAAATGAATATACAAAGGTCTGGAACGATTCTAGCAAAAGTAATTCTCAAGAAAAAAAAACAGATGTGTGCCAGCTTTAGCTTTTAAGTCATTTTGCGTGACAACAATGACCTTGAAAGCAAAAACTAAATCTGTTTCGCCCTGGCGTCATCAGAAAATAACCAAATATCAAGACTGGCATCCATATTTTGTCATGAAAAAAAATAATAACGAAATATCATTAAATTTCCAAAAGTAAACTATCGACATATATAAGTCCTGTTTAATGTAAATATTTTTGAGTAAAATGCGGTGAAAAGGTTTAGATAGACCAATGACCAAACGATAATGACAAACTGTTAATTGATACAAGACTTCCTGTCCAAAACAGCGTATTCATGTTTATATAATTAAAAATCGTTTAATTATGTTTTTTCAAAATCTTGATACATGTACTAGCTTCACAATGTCACACATCTAATTCTTTCGTCATAATACCATTTACTAAATAAACATTTTTTTCTGTTGTTCAAAAGCATGAAACGTAAACCTTGCCAAATCATTTATAATATGTTCAGCTTGACAATTCAAGATATTAAATTTATGAATATAATCTTGGTAAATATTTTATTGTTGAATTGTCATAAGCACAATGTATACCATCACAAAATGATATTTTGTTCTTCTGTACCCTAACATAATTTACATTTACGCTTAAATCTCTCTTCATATGCACTATTGCAAATGACAAACTATTGCATAGTTAAAAATAGGTAAAGATAGTTTTAAATACTATAATATTAATGATTATGAATGACAATGGCCAAGTGAAATTGGTAACAAAAGTTCGGTATTTGCATGACTCA